AAGATTTGATTAAATGAAACATTTAAAGGAGATGAAGAAACAGATTGGGAAAAAAAAAAAAAAAAAAAAAAAAAAAAAAAAAAAAGTGCAAATCCCCCAGCCTGATGTTAGGCCTGCAGAATCAGCTCCCTTGTTTGAGCAGGTCCTGGGTGATTGGTGGAACATGATTGATTAAGAAGCACTAATTGCCAGCTTCTTAGCCAATGAAAGAGGCTAGGTTATATTCTTCACCTGACTTGTTGGCTAACCTAAGGTTCTAGATAAAAATGCTTGCTAATGTGCATTCTCTACGATTACCTATGGGTATGAACCCATGCATTGGTTTACCTTGTAGTGCAGCCCCGGAGCTCCATCCCACCATACAATACAGAGGTGACAGAGACTACCATTGTGATCACGTGGACCCCTGCTCCAAGGATTGGATTCAAGGTAAATTTCAGATATTCCCTATCCCTTGTGATGTAGTCTAGAGGTGCCTTCCTGTTTGTGAATGTGGAAAAAGCAGGGTATTCTAGAGACCTGGAATTTGTTAACCTCCTTGCTCCTACCTTCAGGGCCCTGTTGTCAGAGCAAAGCCTTGTCAACACTGAGGCTGTTCACAAAGGAGGGAAAAGATTAGCATGGAACCCTTAGTTCTTGTTGTTTGGTTTTCTCTGTCTTTTCCCTCAGGGAACTACATTAAATATATTTATTAATGAAAACTCCATTTGATGTGTTGCTCTAAATGGGTGTCAAGAAGTTTACAAAAACCAATTAGGGAGACCAATTAAACTCAGAGTCACTTAAAAATCACATTTTTATCCAGTTTCCTCTCAACTTGTTCAGAGCCCTATGGGTGAATTTCTTAATGGCAGTTAAGATTGAGGTCTTCTTTGTGGATATCTGGAGTCATGTTTTTTAAAGCAGTGACATCAGGGAAGTGATGAATACAAATGGATCTATTTAAAGGAATTCCATTCTTTGTCATTTAGAGGAAAAAGAAGTAGTTACTATGCCTGTAAATCAAAATGAAATTCCTGTGATTGTTGAAAAAGACAATGGCTTGAAGGTCACTTCATTTTTTTAGGATGCCAGTAGCCATGTTGATGGCTGCTGCTTAACTACAGAGGAACCTTTTGGAAGATTGCCAATGTACTTTTTAGTTTCCCTTAAGAATGTCATTCAGGGGCTAGAGAGATGGCCCAGTGGTTAAGAGCACCGGCTGCTCTTCCAGAGAACCCCGGTTTGATTCCCAGCACCCACATGACAGCTAACAACTGTCTTAACTCCAGTTCCAGAGGATCTGACACCCTCTTCTGGCCTCTGTGGGCTTTCATGACATGGGTGCACTGATATATATGCAGGCAATACACTAATACACATAAAAATAAATGTCATTCAGATTCTTAGAAGCCATGGAGCATATGAAAGATTTCTCGAGTTGAGTATCGTTTGATAAAATATTATGACCTAAGCTTTTGACATAGAACTTTGAAAGGATTTAAATCTATAGACATATTTATGTTAGTTCATCTTTTATAAGATATAGTCCTTCAATTGAAACTTTGAACATGCTCTTCAATGGAAACATTTTCAGTGTTAATGTGGCCAGTGCCTTTACATGGTAACTAGAAAATGAACTGAGCGTGAGCAGCTCATCCAAGCGTGCCTAGGGGATTTCCTCTGGCATGTGGGAAATACAAAGGACTGTCCCAAAGCCCCTGCGCACTTCTGCTTTGTACCAGGAGGGTCTGCATCAAGCAGAACAGTAATGGCCTTTGTTTGGAACCTTCCATTATAAGCGACCTTAATGCCATTGGGAAAATAACGTTCCTGCCTTAATACCCAAATACAGGAACTTCTGGCTAATTTGTAAAACAGAGCTAAAGCAAGTCCCTAACTCATTCCTTAATAAAAGCACATGGTGGGTTTCTAAGGAGTTCTCGCTGTATGAAGTGTCACCACAGCCTCTCAGTAGCTCTAGACATTTGTTCTTCATGTTAGTTTTGCTTTTTTACTAACAGCTGGGTGTACGACCAAGCCAGGGGGGTGAAGCACCCCGAGAAGTGACTTCAGAGTCAGGAAGCATCGTTGTGTCTGGCTTGACTCCAGGCGTGGAATACACTTACACCATCCAGGTCATCAGAGACGGCCAAGAAAAGGACGCGCCGATTGTAAACAGAGTTGTGACACGTAAGGAGAACACTTGTTCCTTTTCTTTTAGCTTTTAAACTATTTCACTTTTTAAAAAGACTAATATCAAAGCCACACATGTAGGTAGTACCTGTAATCCCAGCATTTGGGAGGTAGAGAAGAGAAGAAGGATCAAGTGTTCAGGGCCAGCCTCTGCTACATGTCTCGTACAAAAATAAAAAGGAAAGGAGGGAGGGAGGGAGGGAGGAAAGGAAGGAAGGAAGGAAGGAAGGAAGGAAGGAAGGAAGGAAGGAAGGAAGGAATAATGCAAAGTACCTTGTAATCCCAGTATCTCTGCTCTTTTCTGAGAACCATACAGGGGAAATTGCCCATTCCTATTTATGTTATTAGGTACCTCAGAGTTTGGTGTGTCAGGTTCAGCTCACATCATAAATTCTACAGCAGTCAAGTGTCAAGAGCACTTATGAACTGGCAAGAAAAAAGTAATTCTAAAAAGTAGAGCAATATCATTAATCTTATAAACAATCTGCTATCAGAAGATGACTGTCTACCATGTTTTTATAGTATAGTATCTAGATTTCACTGATACTGGAGGGAAGGGATAAAGGAAGGAAGGAAAAAGGGAACGAGGGAAGGAGAGAAGGAGGGAGCTAGGGGAAATAAAAGAAACATTTTACAAGCCAAATTCGTTGTGCTAACTTTTAAAATGTTCTTTCTGTATAGCATTGTCCCCACCAACGAACTTGCACCTGGAGTCTAACCCTGATACTGGAGTGCTTACAGTCTCTTGGGAAAGGAGCACCACCCCAGGTAAGCATGGGATGGATCTGAGGGCATGTATAAACAAAGGTTTCCCAAGACAAAGACGAAGATGTTAGAAACAGTTCTATTCAGGCTGGAGAGATGGCTCAGCAGTTAAGAGTACTGGTTGCTCTTGCAGAGGACCCAGGTTCGATTCCCAGCACCCCATGGTGACTAACAATCATCCCTAATTCCAGTTCCAGGGATATCCATGGGTATTGCATGACATGAGTGCACCTACCTACATGCAGGCAATACACACATTCACAGGAAATTAAATAATAAATAAATAAATAAATAAAATTTTAAAAAAAGAAACAGTTTCATTCAGAGAAAAATAGAACTAAATTCAAAGATGGGGGCCAATGACCAGCTTCCCACAATTAATGTAGGGGTGTATGAGTGTTCCTAAAACGCGGGGAAATTCAGTGCATGTTTTCTCAACTCACAGGAAAGAGAGAAATCATGTACTAGGCTGTGAGAAAAAAGGCAGGCGCTTACACTGCTCACACTGCAGGGAATCACGGGCTCTGGCAAAAGCATTGTGAAGAAGGTTTTCTTCAGTGCTTTATAAATTACCAAACGGCTGAAATTATAGTATGCAATTTCTGCTGTGAGTTGCTGTAAATATTAAATTGTCTCTTCACCGAAGTTTTCCATATACAGTCATCCCTTGGTATCTGTGGAGACTGGTTTCAGGATTCCCAAGTGATTCCAAAATCTGCAACTGCTCAGCCCCTTACATAAAATGGCGTTATAACGTTACTTAGATGGTCTCTGGGTACTTGGAACCTAATACAATGCAAATGCTGTACAAGTAGCTATCCTAGTAGACTGTTGAGGAGGCAGTGACAGAAATTGGGTGTGTTCAGTATAGATCAAAGTTATTTTCAAACATGTTCTACCTATATTCTTTGAATGCAGATATACAACCTATATATATGGAAGGTCTACCTTGTTATGTCATGGGTAAGGGCCCTTGCCCAAACCTGAGTTCAATCCTTAGAGTCCACATGGTAGAAGGAGAGGACTGACTTCCACAGGTTGCCTTCTGACCTCCTCATTCACATCATGGCATGTACATGTGCCTGTGCTCACACACACATAAAAAGTAAATGTAATAAAAATAGAATTAACAACAAGAAATATTTAAAATCCTAAGATGTAAAAAAATATGACTATAAGAATATTCATGTAGCAAACTGCACCATAAGAATAGTAACTTAATTATATTTTATTATTAAATACTAAGCATATTGTAGAAACTTCTGCTGAGATACCACAGTTCCCAATTATTGAGAACATTCTAAATTGAACAAAACTGAAGTTGCAACTAAGGTTGATTATATCTATACCTGCTGCACCTAATTGGAGAAGTATATTTAATTTATTAAACTGTTTTTTAAATTTTGATACTGATGAAATTTTTATAGCAGTAAAGCTATATTCCCAACACTCGAAAAGCTGAGGCAGGAAGATTATCATGAGTTTGAGGGTAGTCTGGTACACACAGTGAGTCTTAGGCCAGGCTGGGCCATAGTGACCCTGTCTCAAAACAAAAAAGACTATATCTATGTGTTACATATAAATATTTGTATAATTCTTAAAAATCTGTGCATATGATATACATGTTTTGTGCATGTTTATGTGTATAGGTGCAGGCACATGGGTGCCACTGAGTGTGTAGGGAGGGGTCAGAGGACAGCCTTGGATGTTGGTTCTTGCCTGCTGGCTTCTGGGGATTCTCCTGTCTCTGCCTCCCATCTCCCTGTAGCAGTGATAGGATTTTAGATACACATTACTGTGTCTAGCTTTCTGTGGGTCTGGGGATAAGAACTCAGGTACTCATGTCTGCACAGCAAGAGCATTACTTACTGAGCCAAATCCTCAGTCCATAATTTGACTTTTGTTTTGCTTTATTTTATTTTTTGAGGTAGACTCTCCCTGTAGCCCCAGCTGGTCTGGAACTGGCTATGTGGACCAGGGCCGGTTTTGATCTCACAGAGATATACCTGCCTCTGCTTCCCTAGTGCTGGGATTAAGGGTGTGTGCCACCAAGCCCAGCCCCCATAATTTGTAAAAATAATTTCATATATCATACTTGTCCTTGCTTGGGCATACAGCTAAGGCAATTATCTTTAAATGTGTCAGTGTTTACAGTTACACAAAATAAGATGAGTTCAACATATTCTTTTCAATCTCCCTCTGAAATTGTGTTTGATGAGGTCCTTCTGTGGAAATATACTTTATAATGTAAGTACTGTTTCAGCTGAGTTACTCTTGTTTTGAAACTTGCAGCTGGCAACTTTTTTGCTTGTTGGCATCTGGGTCATTCATCTCCCATCTTAATGGCCTGCCCATTCAGGTGGTCACTAGCAAGAGAAGTGACCTAAGCATTGATTTCCTGTTCCATTCAGTTTCCTGACATGTACCATGACAGTGTTCACCTTTTTTCCTAAATGACAGCATACAGTCATTTCCTCAGTAATTCCACAGTGTTGTCTCTCCTCCCTTTCAACCTGGGCCTATAGATGTCTGGTCACCACTGGAGTTATTGGAATGTCTCCTCCGCCTAAACACTTTCACTGCTCAATTTCCATGATACCTGAAGTTTTCTGTAATTAATATTCTTTTAAGAATACCAACATTTTCATTTCTCACTTTTTCCCCTTCCTTAATTCTCTTCCTTAAAAAAATCCCAATCAGCTCAAACCTTTAAATTTAGGAGAATACTCTTTGGAGAATGTGCTTAGGTTGCAAGTGGTCCCATAGTAGTCAGGTAAAATGGAATATTCGTAAGCTCTCCTAAAGATGACCTATTAAGGAAAAGCAAGCTGGAGTGGAGGCTGTAATTTCTGGAGGGACAGAAAAGTTTTTGGCAATCACTTCTCTGTTTTCTTTTTTGTTGTTTTTGAGACTGAGTCTCACTGTGTAGCTCTGGCTGGCCTAGAACTCACTATGTAGACCAGGCTGGCTTCAAACTCTGCCTCCTGAGTACTGGGATTAAAGGTGTGCACCATCACACTTGGCTCCTTATTTTTGTAATTGACACATAATATTTGTACATATAATAGAGGGTACTGTAAGATCATTCAGGTGGTATGTATGATAGATAATGATCAAGTTCACATTTCCATATCCTCCAGCACTCATCATTTCTATGTGCTGGAGACCCTAGATTCTTCTAGTTATTCTGAAATGCATCATAAATTGCTATAGTCATTTTACAGGACTGGAGAATCTTCTAAAGATTCCAAAGCTAATCCCTCCATCTTGACTGTGTTTTGGTACCATGATCTAACCTCTCTGTTCCCTCCCCTCTTCACAGTCTTTAGTGACCACTCTTTTACTCTCTTATGAGATCACTATCTTTAGCTTCTACAGAGGTGTAAGAATACCCCTCTGTATTTGTACCTGGCTCATTTTACTTAATATCATGTCCGAGATTTTCTTGACACTTGGGGTTTTTAGTCAGCCTCAAAGAGCTGTTGCAAGCACTGAATAGCAGTGTTCTCAGTAAAAGTCAAATCATTTTTTTGTCCTTTTGTGGTCCAGCATTGGACTATAGTTTAATATGCCCTGGGGTCATAAATGTTCCATGTCATAACTTCCTTTCTTCCATTTACTCCAGATATTACCGGCTATAGAATTACCACAACCCCCACAAACGGACAACATGGAAGTTCTTTGGAAGAAGTAGTTCATGCTGATCAGAGTTCCTGCACTTTTGAGGACCTGAATCCTGGCCTGGAATACAATGTCAGTGTTTACACTGTCAAAGATGACAAGGAAAGTGTCCCTATCTCTGATACCATCATCCCAGGTAATAGAAAAATAAGCTGTTATCCTCGGAGTGGCAGTTTCAATAGGATGAGGATTAATATCTTAATCCCTAGATAGCTGAGTGTGTCAAATATAGTTGGGATTTAATTCCAACCTCCCAGTGCATTCTCCAAAACCATGAAGCCAAAGCAACTGTTTGGACAAAGGCTTTGCTGTTAACACTGCTTCACTATCTGTGCTTGACTGGGATGCTGTTTGTTGCGAGGGGTATGTAACGGAGCGCAGCCATGGCATTAACTCTGTACTGTTTGCTCACGTGGAAGGATTACTAAACAGTGTCATGTGTCTGTATTCAGTGCTGACAGGCTAAAAGTAATGTGGTAAATGCATCCCATTGGTACACTGGTGCCTAATTTTACAGTCCATAGCCATTTCTAACAGCTATCTAAAATAGTTTTTGTCTCCCTATGTGAGCACTGAAATAGCACTTGGTTGACAACATCCAAATCTTTATCTTGCAGCTTCAGATTCTTTTTAAAATAGGAGAGGGTTGAAAAAGACAGAAATAAGTAAAGGTCAGGCCTTCAGGGCACTCTTTCTTACGAACTGTAAGTCAGCATTGTAAAGGTGTGTCTAGGAATAAGTTTGTCCAAAATCAGATTGAGGCAGTATGAAAGCATTGGGCAGATTCTGTCCCCCTTTGCACAGTTTGGTATGAGTTTACAAATACTAATTAAATTACATGAATTAAAATGTTGGCAGTAGCCTGGGCTCAGGGCAGTCTCGCGTTGGCCTGAACGTGCTGCTGAATGTCACATTTCACAGCATATATTCCTAATGCATTAATGTTATGGTCACAATTTTGTCATGAGTTTTGTAAAGACAAAAAAGAGCAATTAACCATCCAACCTTTTAAAACCTTCTATTTGTAAGCCTTTATTTTCTACTAAAGGTTTTGTTTCCCTTTTCAACATTGCTGATATCTACTGCAGGTTATTATGGCTAGGTTCTCAGAACAGTTTTGACATCGTAAACATGCTTACGATTTTTAGGGATCGGAGTACTTCAAATTGTACTCTATAGGGATATTTTCCAAATGCAGGAAAATCCCCAGAAGAATATGGTAACCTGCTTTATTGTTCCAGGGAAGCAAATTATTCATGATGTTTGGGAAGTCTTTTCAGATATTTTTTGAACAAATTGCATATTACCATCATTGCTTTACCCCTCCGTCAATTTTACTACTGGTAACCTGATGTACACTGCTTTATTTTTTCCTCTTTTTTGCCTCTACTTTCCTTTTGCCTCCTCTTTGCTTCGTAACTCAATAGAGGTGCCCCAACTCACTGACCTAAGCTTTGTTGATATAACCGATTCAAGCATCGGCCTGAGGTGGACCCCGCTAAACTCTTCCACCATTATTGGGTACCGCATCACAGTAGTTGCGGCAGGAGAAGGTATCCCTATTTTTGAAGATTTTGTGGACTCCTCAGTAGGATACTACACAGTTACAGGGCTGGAACCCGGCATTGACTATGACATCAGCGTTATCACTCTCATTAATGGCGGAGAGAGTGCCCCTACTACACTGACACAGCAAACCGGTGAATTTTGAAAACTTCTGTGTTTGAGACATGGATAGTGTTGCATGCTGCTACCTGTCACTCTGGTTAAATATGGATGTTTCTAAGGAGAAGCCAGAAATCGGCCACATAGATGAAATAGGGTGGGTTGGAGATAAAGAATCAAATGCATAGGTTAATCTATATATGAAAGCATATATAAGTAGTCTTAAATGCACTTCAAACCACAAATAGATACAAAGCTAGAGAAATCTAGATGTCTCTGAACTATTAAATATAAAGGAGCAAGTAAATTTGCAGACCCAGAGGTGTTCGTCCTTAAAGTATCTGACGTGAACACCAAATTGTCTGATGAGCACCAGTTAACACTGAGATGGACTTCCAAATGTACCGCTATGCTCTTCTTCTGCCTTTTGATACATCCCCAGGTTCCTTTGCAGCTGCTGAAATACCCATCAAAATTTAGGGTGGAATAGAAGGGATTGTTCTGAGGTAGGAAGACAACAAACCTTAGGGCCTTATTGATTATGCTGCTGTCAGAGGTAAAGAAACTCCTGTTTAACCACAGTCTGGAGACCAGCATGCAACATTTTAAAGGTTCTCTGCCCTGCATGGTAAGAAACATGCTGAGAACCAATTTGCATGAACCCTCTCACTTGTAAGTAGAATTCATTGAATGGAATTGTGTTTATGCCAGTAGCGTATAGCTGTCTCACGTGGAGAGATTTAGAACCCCTTGTCTATTTGTCTGTGTGCATGCGTTTCTTTGGAAAGTACTGCTATGTTTCTTTTTGCTGTGTGGCAACTTAAGCCTCTTCGGCCTGGGATAAAATCATCTTCAGAAGTATTAATAATGTACTTAAAACAAACCTATTTGAAAGTAGGCTAAAATTATTTTTTTAATATATAAATGATGGCAGAAAGGTTAAAGGAGCCTAACAGTATTGTGTGTAGTGTTTTATTTTTTAACACTAGTATACCATGATTTAGATTAGACTATTTGCATGATTATGACTGTTTTCCTTTATGCATGAAATACTGTTTTTTACCTTTTCAGCTACTTTTGTTAGCTTTAACTTTAAAATTACATTAACTTCATCTTCCTTCTTATTTGAAACCAGCTGTCCCTCCTCCCACTGACCTGCGATTCACAAATGTTGGTCCAGACACTATGCGTGTCACCTGGGCCCCGCCTCCATCCATTGAGCTGACCAACCTCTTGGTGCGCTACTCTCCTGTGAAAAATGAGGAAGATGTGGCAGAGTTGTCAATTTCGCCTTCGGACAATGCGGTGGTCTTAACAAGTAAGCACTCAAATACATGTATTCGATAAATGCTCATCTGCAGCATAACGAATTCTGAATTCTAATGGAAGAGGATTTTAGAGAGCCGTAACACTAATGTCCAAGTTTGATACGCAGCTCTGTAAATTCTGAAGGATGTCATGTTTATTGCTGTCTTGATATACGTTTGATCTCTCCATTCTTAAAAAATCATAGTAAAAAACACCAACAGCGAAGTTCCAAGACTTCAAACACATTCTACTTCTAAATAAGCACTTGAAAATTAAGTGACTATCAAAAGAATTACACAACTAAGAAAAAATGAGGAAGCTGGTGCCATCACATCTGGTTTTTACCAGTTTTTTGGTGAAAGTGTCAGCAGGTAATCTATGTAGTATTTGAAACTTAGAAACAGTGACTGATTGCTTGGGGTCGATCAGGATAAGAGTCAGAAGTTTAATTTGTACTTCAGAAAACATCTGTTTACACGGGATTTCCCAGAAGACTGCGGACTCAGAAAACAACCGACATTAAATAAACAGTCTATGGAAATGTTCTTCCCAGCTGCTAACATTTTGGAAGAGATATATTTTTTTTTAATTGAAGAAAGTAAGAGGTTGCAACATGGTGCTGTGCTTCACATAAACTTATTTTTTCACTAGTAAAATGTGTGGGTACAAGAGAAGACGCCACATAAAAGGAAAATAGCCTACATTTAGGTATGATCTGTAAGCATGCGCTCTCTTTCAAAGTGAAATACAAAGAAGGGCAACTAAGCATGCCTCTTTGTTTGATTCCTCCCCTTGTGGCTGAGGGCAAGAATGTCTGCACAATTGCCTGATGGTGGCCATGGTGCTGCTTCTGTCTGGAGTCAGTAGATACCCCATTCTCCAGTATTCTAGAACCCATATCACATGTTGGTTCCACCTTAGCTAAACCCCTCCACATGTTAATCAAGTGTTCCAAGAATTTCTAGTCCTAATGCTATGTTTTAGTTTTTTGCATGATTTTGTTGCATGATAAACACCGTGACTGAAGCAACTTAGGGAAGAAAGGATTTGTTTGGCTTATAGGTTACAGTCCATCATCAAGGGAAGCCAGGGAAGGAACTCAAGGCAGGAAATGAAGCAGAAACCATGGAGGAATGCTGCTTGTTCCCTGGCTCCTGCTCAGCCAGCATTCTTATATAATCCAGGCCTGCCTGCCCTGGGGTGGTACTGTCCACAGAGGACTGGGTCTTCCTACATCAATTAGCAATTAAGAAAATGCTTCATAAACATGCCCACAGGCCAGTCTAATGCAGTCCTTTAGCTGAAACCTCCAAGTATGTCAAGTTGACAACTGAAGTTGACTATAATAAGCTATGACCTCAAGGTAACTCTCCCACTTAGAGAAGTCACTATTACCTTAGTTAAAGATAAGCAGCTGGACATGGTGACTCATGTCTATAATCCAAGCATTTGGGACCTGAGGCAGGGGAATTGTCACATTTTGAGGTTAGAGATAGATGATAGACAGACAGACAGGCAGACAGATAGGTTTTAGGCTACCAGGCTACATGGAAAGACCCAGTTTCAACAAAAACACGAACAAACTAATAACTAAAGATGAAGCACGTGAAGTCTCCTTTTGTCCCATTGTTGTGGGCCAGATTGGGAAGAAGTGGACTTCAGACATCCAGTCCTCCAGTCTGACTCTTTTCCAAAACCTGCAGGAATCTCTACAGAAAGACTAAAGGTCAGAGAGTATGTGGGGATGATACTGTAGCAAGCAGGAGTTCAGAGTTGGGATCAGTCAGGGATGGTGGCTCACTCTTTTAATCACAGCACAGAAGAGTCAGAGGCAGGCAAATATCTGAGTCAGGGCCAGCTTTGGATCACATAGCAAGATCCAGGCCAGCTAGTGCTACAAGTGGGAGCCTGTCTCAAAAAACAGAACAGCCAAAGAATGAGATCAAAGGATTTTTCTGTGATGTAGACTAAACTTTACACCAATATTCTGGTCTCACCTTATTATGGCAGAGTCAGTCCTTTCCCGTTGGAAGGTGGCTCTTTTCCAATCAGGTTAATTGTTAAGAACACTGAGGCTGGTCTGGATCAACCTCTGTATGATCTTGAGCAAGTGAATGAAAGAAAATAGTAATTTCTGTGTGCCTTGGTTTTCTTCTTTCTAAATTAATATTCAGAGGTTGTGGCTATGTTCATATCTTAACTACACTGATGATTTCCACAAGGATGCATGTCAAAACTTAAATATATGCACTATATTGTATGTCAGGGAAGTTGCAGGCCACCTCATAGGGTTGTTGTGATGGGTAAATGATAACATATAGTCCCACTACAATTATCATCAGACACTCTTTCAAATTGATGCAAAAATTATTAATGCCCCATAACTGTACATCTGGTTGAGTCATATTTATAGAGGTGGAACTGAGGGGAAAGCTTACAGATATCACAGGATAGAGAGACCTTAATTACAGAACATCTTCAGGTAGGGGTGTTCACTTAGCTATAAGTGGGCTAAAGAATTGAATGCTTGGGTATTTCATCACTAAAAATAATCCCGGGAGTGCTTTGGATTTTCATACTTTCAAGTTTAAAGTAAGTCCCACTTGCCTTACAGATCTCCTGCCTGGGACTGAATATTTAGTCAGTGTCTCCAGTGTCTATGAACACCATGAGAGCATACCTCTTAGAGGAAGACAGAAAACCGGTGAGTCATGTTGGCAACATGCTTATCAAGTAGTTCTCAGCTACCAATTTTAAACAACAAAATGATATGCTGCTTCTGAAACTGCATGTCCACCTTTTATGCTGGCGGGACACTGCTGTTTTTAAAAACTCAAGGCTTTTAAAAGTCTACATATAAAATGATGGGACTTTTCCTGCATGCTTTGTTTCTGTTGATCCTCCTGTTCCTCTCCCCATCTCCCTGCCATACTTTCTTAGTGAAGTAGCCCCTTTCTGCTTTCACGAACCTGTATTTTATTACCTTGATTTTCTTTTTTCCACTGTACCCCCCGACTTAAGACTTCTTTTCACTTTCTAGTCTCATGATCTATACTCCCTCCACATGTATGCACACCTGGATCAAAATGCCAGGAAATGTGCTGTTTGCCTCTCTGAGTCTGGGTTACTTTCCTTAAAATAATAATTTAGGTTTCTATCCATTTCCTTGTTAAGTGTCACAATTTCACTTTTCTTTTTTTAAATTTTTTAATTGAATTTCTGTGTATTTCAAACAGAACATCTCAGTCTTAATTTCATTTTTCTTAAAGGCTGAAAAAGATTCCAATGTATATGTCCCACATTTTCATTGTCTGTTCATCTGTTGATGGACACCTAGGCTGATTCCATTTCCTGGCAGCCACAAACACAAAATGTGCAAGTAACTCTGTGGTGGGATTTATTCTTTGGGTACATGCCCAGGAGTGGGATAGTGGAGGCATAGTGTTTTGAGAAACCACCACAGTGGTTCCCTTGGTGGCGGCGCCAGTTTACACCCCATCAGCAGTGTTACAGGTTCCTCTTTCCCTACACCTTCACCAGCATTTGTTATCTATTTTCTTGATCTTAGTTGTACTGACTGGGATGAGATTGAATTTCAAAATAGCTTTTATTCCATTTCACCAATGGCTAAAGATGCTGAATGCTTTTTCAAATATTTATTTTGCCAATGCTTTTTCAAATATTTATTTTGCCAATGCTTTTTCATTACTGATTTTGAACATAGAGATACCTTATTCAGCAATTAATAATTATTAGTTATCAATTCAATCATTATGGTCCTACTCCATGCTTCTGCAGAGGAATGTCTCATTGCTATTAGCTAGAGTTGGTGGACATGTCTTTCCTCGAGGCATCTCTAATGGCTGACCCCAACACACATTGCCATCTAAATATTTCCTCCCTTACTAAGCAAATTTATACACAATCTCCACTTGATTTATTATCTTTCACTACAAAGAGGTTGAATTGACTCCAATAAGTAATACATTCGTTCTTATGTATGAGTTCTTGTTTAAATTTTTTCATTTAAAAAAGTTTAGTCTATTCATTTATTTACTGTTCACTTGCTGCCAAAAAGGAGTAGGATATCTTGATTTGGTTTGACTGTGTATTATTGAATAAAATTCATGCATGTTATAACTCAAACAGGAAGTAACTAATAGTCTCAGGGAGGTTATGAGATGAACACTGAATTGCTATTAATTTTTCAAAAATCTACTACATTTGGGGGTTGGGAGTGTAATGCTTGCCTAGGATGCATGAGTGCCTGGGTTCAATCCCCAGCACTGCAGACAAAGCACAACACAATAGTACCAAGTTCTCACTTCATAAGGGATTACCTGCATTGTATTTTGTCCAGGATGATGCTTTTAGGTTTTAGAGGGTCTTGTGTTTGGCATCATTGTCAGTCTGTTGATATCAGTTCTGTCTTGTGCATAGACAGCTTCTTTGGAAGCCAAAGATCTCACTTGAGAATGCTTTGCTTCAAGACATATGCTGACAGAACACACAGAGAAAACTTAAATGCCAAAGCACCTGATAATATCAATTATCACAGTATTTTACAAAGGTCTATATTCAAATGTGATGCCGATATATACCGTAATTACACACATTGTAATTACATTGCTTCACTGACTTAAAAGAAAAATACATAAATGAATGTATGAATTTACTATGTTGAACTATTACTTGAAAAAAAAATAAATGAATTATGAGTTGACTATGTCAGTTTACAGTTTCAAAATTCACATGTGGCTTAGAATCAGTACCACAACTGATGACACGTTACTTTTCCCCACATCTCCCACATTGTCTAAGCTGGTGGTATGTTATTTCCCCCCCACCCCCTTGGTGGAAAAAAAAAATATACAGGTCTTGATTCTCCAACTGGCTTTGATTCTTCTGATATCACTGCCAACTCAATCACTGTCCACTGGATGGCTCCTCGTGCTCCCATCACTGGCTTCAAAATTCGCCATCATCCTGAGCATGCTGGTGGAAGACCCCGGGAAGATCGGGTGCCTCCCACTCGGAATTCCATCACCCTCACCAACCTCAATCCAGGCACAGAATATGTGGTCAGCATTGTTGCAGTTAATGGCAAAGAGGAGAGCGCCCCATTGGTTGGCCAGCAGTCCACAGGTAATTTATTTTCTGGTCTGCAAAGAAACTCCTGAGGCTTTCCCATACAGTTAGTGTGGTCTTTGAAACAGCATCATGTCGTCTGAGTCATGGCTCAAAAGTTAGATCATCTGGAGACACAGAATGCAGCAACAGAATGCAAGGTCAAAGATCTCCTCAGAGTATATTTTAAAAGGTATACCTTACCTCAAGAAAATTTTCACCTGATTCAGATATTTATGTACAGGTGTTCTTGTTTTGTTTTCATTTGTGGTTTTGTTTGGAGTTTTTGTTTGTTTCTGTGTTGTTGGTTTTTCTTTTGAATTTTGAGACATGGTCTCATAGCCCACACTGACCAGAAACTGGTTCTCTAGCCCAGGCTTATCTCAA